ACGCAATTCTTCTCCGCTCAGGCCCCGCTGGAAATGTCTCTAGACGTTGCTGACGTATCAGCATTGGTGAGCCTCCTCAATGAGCCTTCAAGTGGTTTGACTAGCAAGTGTGAAGTGAACAGAGAAGTTCGGCTCTGGCATCACTTGCGGCGGATGCAGCGTAGCGCAGTGGAAGGTTCGTAGCTTCCACCTCTGAAAAACAAAGGCTTCTTCCCAGGCATTTGCATACGTTTCTATCGAGCCATGCGTTCACTCGCGGCTCAATTGGCATCACACATGGGCATTTCTCTATACCAGTAAGACAACAGCTAGGGATCTCGACTACTATCATGCTCAGAAGCATCGAGGTCAGCGAGGCCGAAGATCAGGAGGGCCCTCTTGTCAAGTCGCCAATGTCTGACATTTCGGAGGTGAAGCTTCGTGCTCGTGACTTCGTAGCCGTTGAACCGAACACTCACGATTACTCTACTACCGAGTCCGAGAGTGCTCACCGAGGGCCAGTTGTTTCCGAGGCTGAGTGCCAACGTATATTCAATAGATTGTATTCCGATGCAATAGAGCATCGAGAGCAGAGAACTGCCAAAGCCGAGCAGAAACGACAGGAAGAACGACAACGGGAGGTTGCGGAATGCTCCTTCTCCCCGGTTATTATCGCCGGCGACTCGAACTTCAGTCCGCATCGGGCTCGTAGGGCGAGCTTGAGGCTCTACCAAGATGCAGACAACCGGCGACAGAGGCGGAGACGTATTGAGGAGGAAACCTTCTGTCGCGACCCTTATTCGGCTGCGATAACTCCATCGAAGTCCGTTAGCGCTATTTCTGATCGACTCTACCGAGAAGCTGCGATAAGGCAGCAAAAGCGCGCCGAATTGGCCGCCAAGTCGCTATCGAGCTTCAGCCCAGACTGCTCCAAGAGTAGACGGTCTTTCGATACACTCCTGAACATAACATTTCCGAAAGGAACCGAGACTATCGAATGTAGCGATCAAGAAAGCGGATGGACCGGGTACGCAGGGAAATTCACAGTTACCAGTGACAGCTATCACTCGTACTCATTCAGGTCGCAAGCCGTTTCAGAAGCGAACGATGAGGATGAGCCCTCTGGGTGAGTACTGCTACTGTGAAGTCATAATGCATTTCATAGAGACTAGAAACTACAGCTTCTACTTACATGTTCAGATCGGAGGTTTGGGTTGACGACCCGAGCCTCGGTGAGGGGCGGGAACTCGTCGACATGACCGATGCTACTCTCGAGGCTTATAGATTGTTGGGAAAGTTGCAGCGATCCGGGTCGGAGAACGACACGGATTTCTTAGAAGTTGTCGCCTTGTGACCATTGTCCAACGCCATGATACTCCGTTGTTCGTCTGATCTACCCCGACTGCGTTCAGTTAACAAACTTGGTTGTGGCTCCGCTCGGATGCTATCCGAGGCGCCACATAACTCTTTCAAGTATCAACTGAATCGTGCCGAATTACTCGATCTGAAGATAATGGCCTCGACCTCATCATGTCGGCTAGATAGTTCATCGTTTACCCGATCAACTTGTCGGCCACATTGACCGAGATTACAACGAACTCAATAAATCACAGATTCATTCACAAGAAACTCGGGTTTATCCCCATGCAATGACTAGATAACATACTTTGAGAGATCGGACTCAGTCATCAACGCCGCCACTGTTGCCTTCACCTATTCAGACACGCGATATGAAAAGCTCAAAGTGTAACGATATGCAAGGCTGAAACGATATCTAACTGTGATCTACCAAATCCGTCCGAACAACCTCACCTTATCCTTGTCGATTCGGACCTCTGTAGGACCTCCTGATCCCGCATCGAACCTGGAAAGATAACTGCTGTTCCTCCCCTCAGCATGCTTAAGGCGATGTCATTCAATTCTATTCGTAAGGGATTAGCTGTCACAGTAAGCGCAATCTAAGGACTTGATGTCGTGTGGCAGCCTCAACTTCCTAACTATTGCTCATATGATATGAGTCATATCATCCTGAAATTTCGTGTAGGAACTCCCTCAACATGATTATATTGTTTAAATGTGCCACAGGCTTTATTTTCGAAAAAAATATTCTGTAGCAGACGCGATTTTGCGTTACTTCATTTGTTTGGATCGAACGCTCGCGACCAGCCTCACTTTATCTCCTCTAGCAGTGTACTCATGACACTCTGCAGTCGACGCGCGCCCGTGTTGGCTGAACTGCGATTCAACTCGAAGGCACTCCTAGAGAAATGAAATCAAAGGAACGCTGGTCCTGGCTAAGTCCATTTGTCAGCCCGCCTCGAGAAGACCCAACCAACAAAATGTGACGTTAGTCGATGTTCGTCCACACAGTCGCTTGATGCCTCTCAGCGACGAAACGAACCCTTTCACGGGGAAGAACAGCAATGACAATCCGCATTCGGATATGTGGAGAAAGTCGAAGATGAAAACTCACTTGGCGATCTCTTGCAACGCTTCCACATCGAATTGAATGTCGACTCCTTCAACCTTCAGAAGAGCCTGTTGTTGCATTGGCAGCGCGTACCTTGAGGATGTCCACTCCCAGTAGAAGACACGCAGAAAACGTAGTTGTTTCGACAGCGCTGAGTTCGGATTCACATACAGTACACGAATCGAGCATCGCAGATTTCGGTACAATGTGTTGAGTTACCGGACGCCTGTCAGTATACGGTAGAAGTCTTCGGTTGTGAGGGGCTTCAGAACGCTTCTTATCGGCAATCGCCCTTGTAGCTCTGGCATGATCTGCGCAGGTTTTGAAGTCGTGAATGCTCCCGCACAGATAAACCTGTACGGAATATGAACCAGTGATAATTATTTAGAACAGCGAGCCATGTTTCTCACGGGGCTTTCCAACTCACAGTATGTGCTCAGTCGATATTCGTCCGAGTCGGGGAGTGGTAACAACCGTTCCCTCTATCAGCGACAATAACTCCTTTTGTACTCCTCTGCGTTTCGAGCCAAAACCACTGGCGGTCTGAGCTATGACAGATAGTTCCTTGGGAACGTGTCCGTGCGCGGCTCACGGCGGTTTAGAAAACCAATGCCAGATCGCCTAAGGACCGGAAGACGATATACTCACCTCCCGCTCCTCACTGATAAGCTTGTCGAATTCGTCTATGAAGACCATCCCGCGCTCCTCGCACGTGACTCGTGCTCGTTCTCTTATCTCGGGTTCTCTGTCTATTATCAGGATGCTCGCATAGTGCTCAGTGACGAGGGACTACCACAATGCCAGGCTCGTAAGGTGCGATTTGTCGCGCAGGGCTACCATGGCATCGCGAACAGTGAGCTTGCTCCATCGCAGGGCTTCCTCAGCGTTGTGCATACGATTCGTTCCTGGCTTGTACAGATGTCGCCCATCAGCCACATCACGTCCCGAAACGGGTGATGGCGATGCTTGATCTACAACAGAGTAAATCTTGAGGAAAATGGTCATGATGGTAGTCGTTCAGAGCGGCCATCGCAGCCAAATATCGACGGATGCACTCTCGCTCGCGAGAAGCGCCAAATATCATGACTGTCACTGACCTTTGCGGCCTCTGCTGCCTTCTCCTCCATCAAAAATGCCCCCTGGCCTGCTCGGATCGATCGGTGCCGGGTGTGTGAGATGACTCTCGATTTCTATCTCAGTGTCCATAGTCCGAGGATCCTCCTTCTCAATCAGATCCTGGAGTTACTTCATACCGAGAGATCCCAGAGCCCCACTCCCCAGTTCACCTTCGCCGCTGTCACTGAGTCTTCCCCGGTTCCCTCGGGAGTACACAAATAGGATCTTGCTACCGCTTCAATAGCGAGCTGTCTGGCTTCGACCTAGGACAAGCCACTTATAGTCCTCTATGATTAATACGGAACATTAGTTGTTATATTTCGAGTAGGGGCTACTGCACAGGGTATTTCTGTCAGTGTACAACTGTGTCGAGACTGTGAGATTTGAAGGTACACATATTGCTTCAGAGATAATGTACAGGCGCCCAAAGAACTATTCCAGAGTTACTCCTGCACGATTTTCGACAAAACGAAGCATACGCGACCACAGGAATTACAAGATTATATATATGTATAGAAGGGCGTGTGGTGTAGTGGTATCACGTCTGCTTTGCATGCAGAAGGCCCCGAGTTCGAACCTCGGCACGTCCATATAAAAACATTACATAACGAGATTTACACTTGCACAAGAATATCTTGTCAGATGCGAATTCGCTTGATCATGAATCAAAACAGTTTTCTCAGCCCGCCTAGAGTGCGGTGTACCATATGCTCACCTGGACCTCCGACATGACCCGTTTCCGTTCCATGTCATACGAGGAGTCCGCTAGTTCGTGTATCATCGTTTGAGTATCTTCCCCAATGAATCCAACTTCAGTGTATCTCGACGATCGAACTAGATTATACAACTCTCCGATAAGAAGTGAAAAATTGCTAAGAAGCCAGACTTATTCTGGCTTCTCAGCAAATTCTCAGTAGAAAATCATATAGTCTATCTGATTTTCTTTCCTTTACTGTCTGTCCCCGAGAACTCCTACTTTGTAGCCACAACTTTCACAAGAGGCGCGCCGATCACGTCAGCTAGTCGCCTTGCGATTTCCGTCTTGCCGCATCCTGATGGGCCTTCCAGAAGAATGCTGAGAACAACGAGGGGGTCCAACACACAATGGACCATGAGTTGCGATTGAAGACCAGGGATGGAAACGATTGGACAATGCTTGCCGAATACTTGGTTGGTAGCAACTCTTTTCTCAGGCCTGCGTCGGGGATCTGCTGGCGTCTCCACCGATCTCTTACCGCAATCGCAACCACGCGTTTCGCGTCATTTTGTCCGATGATGAACTGACACAATCACATGGCGATATACTATTGACTAGTGGGAAATGAATGTTGGCCCTATGAAATGCATCGAAGTACTTTCTGTAGAAGAGGATTGTCGGTTACTCTCGAGCAAGACTGGGTCGTCAACTGCACCTCACCTCGTCCAAATGCTTTACAAGATCCTTAGGAGCGGGACATGCATAGCCATCTTTGGAGCTCCACATCCTTCCCGCTGCACCCGAGGACGGAGCTACCTGAAAGATTGCAATGAGCACCCTCCGTAGACTAGCAGGGCCTCAAGGCGCAGCTTCCTTTTTGGGGCTGAGTATACTTGTGTCACGAATTTACGACTCGAGAAGGAACGACGCCAGCTAGACGAAAGGAGTCCACTTGCAGGCCGTGTGTACCTTTGCGATCGTTGCGATCGTGCCGAACAGACGATGCCGAGTCGAAGCTATCATACTTCGACAAGAAATGAGAGGAATCCGAAGCTCCGCATCCCTGTGAACTCGACGACCGAGAATGTATGGAATATCCATGCGTAGTTTTGTCCGTGTGAAACGGTTTTCGGAGATTCTGAAGTAAATGAATCATCAAATAAAGTTCTAATTACGAAAGTATTGTACAATTCAACGTGAATCACAATCATCACAAGAACGCTCCTGATGATCGGCCTATAGGTAAGGCGTGAGTAATCAGCTGGCGTATATGAACCAGCGGACTCATCGACACCGAAGATCCATGGGCGTGTGATGTAGTGGTATCACGTCTGCTTTGCATGCAGAAGGCCCCGGGTTCAAACCCCGACACGTCCAATTTTATGTGGACCATATTCGCCAATACGTTTCAACCCATCCCTCGTGTCCTTCCTGCACCTCACTCGGAGAGGGGGAAATGGAAGAGGGGTGGCCAGAAGATGCGGTCGCCCCTCTCGTGCTGACATCCCCACGGTATTGGATGGGAATTACAATTTCCAACAACTATTGCTACTGAAAACAAATGCTTCGAACAACGTATCCTCAACTGCATTTACTCTATAACCAAACACATTACTGGATAGAAACAGTGTACTGCTGCACAATATTCACAAGTGACAAAGGGCAATAGGCACCGACTCTCGCTCCTCATCCATGTGGTGACGCACCTCCCCGGTACGCAACAGGGGAGTTGATCGCTGCCTCTGAATCTAAAGCGATGGATACAGAGCTCGTCTTAAGGCAGTGTACATGCCAATGACGCGAACCCACCCGTGTTGCCCTCACAGCGTCTCCCTAAGGCCTCGACCATTCGTGTCCGCCTCTCGTTATCGTTCGCTAGGAGCTCTCGATACTGCAGACCGACACCACGATGCCAACCCCGACGAGAAAGAGCACTCTCATCTCACCATTTTAGCATCTTTCGAAGCTGCCTGTGCCTGGGCTTGTGCGAGTTGCTTGCTTAAATCATCAATCTACAGTGGCAACATTGAGAGCTTTCGTGCCGTCCTCGCCGCTACTCACTTTCCCTCGGAGGCTCTTCGCGACTCGGTCAACGAGAGCCATGGTGGCATCGCAGTCGCCCGCCTCATTCATTTTTATGCCTTGGGCCTAACAAGAAACACCACGAACCGAGTTACCTCCGACCAAGCATCCCCCGAAGAGCGAATAGCCACTGAAAGGCCTGCTCAAGATCTCAGACCAATGCAACGGAGTCGATTCACCACGACCAGTGTGGCACGTTCAAGCACGAGGAATGAGCACCCACTTGTATCGAGTTCTTCAACTTATCATTTTCCGCATGGACCCTGTCAACCTCTTTCCGCAACTCGGTGAGTTCCTGAACAGGAGCAGATGCGGAAACATCAACGGTCAGCTCTCGATATGTCCACATACCTGCTCATGGGCACTGATGATGGACTGATAACCCGCAACGATCTTCTTCATCTGTGCACTGGACATGCCTCCCTCAGCAGTTGGCTCCTCGCCCTCCTCGTCAGCCCGAATGCTAGGGACACCATTCCCGCTATCGGTCGACACTGAACGCATACGCATCTCAATCCATCGGTTGACCAGTGAGGAGAGCAAGATACATCACACACTGCCTCATCACATATCACATTCGTAGAACAGAGCAGCCCTCAAGACTTCGGACTAAGGATCTCTTCGATACCCTCATGCGTTCGTCGACGTATTCGTCGAGAATACTCACCCGATATTTCGGCAATTAACACTGGATGGAAACTCACAACTGATTTCTATACAGAAGTATGAACACCCGTAAACAAGTAATGTACGCCAAATCATTCCGATTCACATTTTCATGCCATAGTTCAACCCGGATAGACCCCCTCCTGGACATTATCAGAATCCTCCGATAAAAAAACTCACCTTCCACGCTCTTCTCACTCATGTTTCCACTAGACTCCGCCTTCGATAACAGCCCTTGTAAGAAGCACTTCTTCGCCGCATCAAGAACCCGCTGGAGATCACTCCAAATACCCGGTGCATCTGATGCCCATCATGATCAACACAGTCAGCGTACTACTAGTACGGCACTAGCATTGTAGCACATATAGAGTTTCACCAGTGATGTGAAAAACAAATTTCACTTCGCGTAAACGGGTGAAACTCCATTGATTCAATATGTGCTATATTATTGAACCCACCTCTATCGAACAGGCCTCCATCTCCTCTATGGTACTTCAACTGTAAAAGGCCGCTCAGATTGCCCACGAACGTCTTCACCGTGACCTACTCAAGTGAGGATACTCCCAGAACCAGCATTTCGACGTCTACCTTCATTTCCACAGCTTCCTGGACGACGGCGCTCTTGCCGCTCACTATGACAGCGCCAAGAACGGCACATGAGAGGCCGGACTAAGGCAGAGACAGACACCTACAGTACCACTCGTATAGAGAAGGGGAATCGGTGTGCAAGCGTAACTTTTCCATGAATCTCAAGATAATTTTTTCTTCTGAGTAGTCCTGATATATATACCCACAGGGTAGGACAGGACAACAGTTTTTCGACCCAAGATAGGCTTGCACACCTATTCATCCTCTCTAGACGACTGGTACTGTACAGCACGAGGAAGTTCTGTACCATAAATCACTCCGTATCGAATCACATACATTTAAAACGAGATTAACCCATCGACTTCAAACAACATATCCAAACCCCATGAAATGACCATTCTATATGGCGACCGCAGTGAAGAGAATTCATTCATGCGTCAGACAAACTTGAATTTTTCGTGCGAAAATCTCATAATCTCCCGAAGGGAAATGAAGACAGTCCTCACAACACAGTTCCTCCAGCCTTACAATGTAGACATCCTTCTTTCCTTGGTTGGGTATACGTGATGCAAGCCTTGTCAGAGTCGGTATGAGTATTGGGGAATTCCCAACCTCACCGCATACGTATTCATGCAGTTCCCCTCCATACGACGACCCCGCCGCCCATAGAAAGATCACTCGTAGGGCCTGAGCAAAACTAATACGCGACAGTACTGTCTTGCCCAGTCGAAGCTACTTGAGGAAGCAGGAAGGCATATTGATCGTTCCCTCTTTCCTCCTCTTCCTGAACACTACCAACATCCGCGACTGCCTTCACCAGAGATGATATACCTATCCAAAGCACGGTATCATCCAGGAACCTATAATGACCCCGGAAAAAAAAATTTTCCAAGTTTTTCGCATGGTCACATTTTTCGATCAGTTCCCCGTGTAAGTATAACATCAACGACATTTTCCCCACTGCTATCGAACTCCCGAGAACAATATTTCCCCTCGAATTTCGAAGCCTCCATCTATATAGTCTCACCCTCGAAATATATCTCTGCCACCTCAGCCTGTCTTTGTTCCGCTGCCAACAACATCTTCAGTGTAAAACCGGCTCGCTGCGGCGACATCCTCCACCCCTGGAGCGCCGAATCAACAACCTCTGGCGCTGTGCACAAGTACTTCGCCAGCCTGCACAGGACGGAATGAGCCGACCCAGACCGCCCCCTCCCTACCCCACAGGAGCCCCGCATAGTTCGTCCATCATATCACTGCGGATCGAATTGACAATCTCCTCAGATGAGGAAGAGGTCAGCATAGCATTGACAGCATATCCTATCATCTCAGGCCCACAGTCCTCATCAATGCCAAGATGCTTCGACAACCGCGACAGCCACTGGACAACTTCAGGCGAATCAGCTACCACGTTGGACGCGACCGTCTCCGAAAGAGTCTGAGAGCAGCAGTGTTGGAAAAACATAGGTTTTCAGCATTCCTCAGCCGAGCTTAGGAGTTCGGGTATGTACAAGTATACAGAACCCGACAGAACTCCACAAAACTTCCCCAGAATTTTCATATTGTCGCATAAGTGCATATTTTCCCACACTGGATACATCCATTCGCGATTACCTGCAACGCCCCTCTCCCTAATTCTGCACTGCCTGATGTACTCCGTACAACTTCAGATTCAAAACAGGTCACACATGACACCATCGATGCCAACACTCCTGAGACAAATTTCCATCACAAACATTACGTCTTTTATGTCAGCCAAAGATACTAATAAACGTATTCGTTATTAATATTAATATCGTATATACAGTACGCGCAATCTAGTCGTGCGAAGACGTGTCACCAGCTTAGCTCGTTATACAGGCCTCAAATTCGCCTGAAATTTTCAGCAGCATGTATCCTAGTATAGCTCTATCGCTCAAATACTACACGGGTCCAATTGCCAATTTTTACCCAAAATGCGACTGACTGAAAATACTTGCGACTTATCTTCCTGACCCAAGGTGTCTTATAATCATCTTAGTATGTATCATCCATCGAAATGGAGAAACTCTATCGCCAAGCTCACCTCCCATTTCTTCATTAACTTCAGAGTTCATCAACTCTACCACCCTCCTACATAGATCTACCAGAGGCTCCAACAGCCCCGTTTCTATTATGTACCTACATTGTGACGACTTAGGAAGAACCCTGGCCCCCCATAACATTGCATAGCAAATGTGATATAGGCCCTATCATTTTCTATATAAATGTCTATCAAATCCGTTTCATTCACCGAACACTTCAGAAAATGTTCAGCGAGGTTTCTAATAAAGCTGTGTAAGAGCTAGATGTCTCACGAGTATATTTTATTCTTAGCCTCAATTGACCCACCAACGCCGTTTCTATACTAAGGCGAGTTAAGGAGCACGAGGGAGAGTAGAACCCCATCACTCAATGCGACTGCACTTACTTCCTACACCCTTCATTCACTGCTAGCTGGTAAAGGCAGGCCGAAGACGCCGCTACGACCAAGGGCTGCGACAGGTTACTTCTGCCCTGAGAGTAAAAGAGCCACACGTCGTGCAAATCATGCAAAACCGGCCGCAGGACTACTACTAGGGTGATAAGGCTTTCAACTCCTCCTTGAAAACAAACTATTTTCTGCAAGTCGCCACCATCGCCCTTCTGCTGCCCACTACTGCTACTCGTAGACACACCCAAAGGAGGGACCAGCATGTGATACAAAAACTCCAATTCTACCGGTGCCGGCTCGAGCTCGGAGACTTCCAGCTGGTCCTCAGTAGACAACGTAGCTATCGCGCCTAGTAAGGAGCCTATCGCACAAGGCGAGTGCACTAGCGCCTAGACAGTGGTATGATGACACTCTTCCAAGTGACCAGACTCACCCCTGAAAGAGCCTCCCGAGGAGCGCCCAAGCCCAGCATGTCTGACTGTCGTACGATAGAGTTGCAAATTCTACACGCTGCATTTATACAAACCTACTAGGAGAACCCATGCATACCACCATTCTTTCAACGCTGAACACCTCCAAAGATCGTATGAAAGTCGTCCCGTTCGCCGAACGACTCATCACAAGAGAGACAGTAGAGGACCTGAAGCATGCCGTGGACAGTAACATCTCGTCCAGCTCTTCAGCTACCAGTCAACTTCATCACCGCCTCCAGCCTCCAGATGATTCCACAGCCTCTGCACCTGAGTCCACATGAACCATATAGCGACTACTTCTACTACCACTGCCAAGGCGTTCTCTGTGATTTCTTCAACGTAGTCCTGGAAAGCGTCGTCGTGTTTAATAGGCGCATCCTCCTCGCCAGTCAACACTCGAGTGAGCAGACTTATTACGATACCTACCACGTGCAGTCTACGACTTTTGGAAGCTCCACTCACTACCCATATTGGAAAGTCCTAAATCGTTAATCCCACTGTCTTGATTCACCAGTAAGCTCTCCAGAGATGTCTCCGCACACTCTCTAAGCCTGGCCATGCACTCGCTCAACTGAGAAGGCTCTTCCCATACAAACCGCTGCCTCCAAGTGCTAGAGAAAACTACGACATTACATGAGAGTCGCGCCGCAGTTCCTTAGGTGATGCGGAGTTCCTCTCTTTGCATTCCTTCAATGCCTCCACGACATCATATGTGCTAACCTACACAGCAAACAACGAGTTGTGCATACCGTGACAAGACACCCTCACATCGCGGTCTATGCTGTCGGCCAGAGCTGAGAAGAAGTCCGCACCTTCCTTAGCGGCACTGGTGGCCTTCGAAACTAAAAAAACGACAAGTCTCGCGACCGATCATCACAAGACGTAACGAATGAGTTAAATTAAACTCCTAAACTTCCAAATAAACCGGGTATGATATTAATTTTCTTGTAATTGTGGTATCTTGTGAAAGCCATGTGTAAAAAATTAACCAAATGGATAAAAAGTTAAATTTGTCGGTAAAAAATTAATTTGCCCTGAGAATGCTGTAGACGCACTCCACTCAAATATCCTACCTGCCGTCGTATCCCACTTAGCCTGGACGGAGTCATCACCATCGACAGCATCAGACGCAGGCGTCGGGTCACCCTCCAAGGCACTTGTGATGGAGGAGGCTAGGTTGAAGAGGAAAGACATTCCATAGTATAATCTACTATAAGATGTGCATATACAGTTTCAGATGCCGTCAGTCAAAGCCTCTTTCGATTTAATATGATGCTGATTTGGTGAACTCGTTAACCAAGTCGTAATTCACTTCTTCGTCCTTCGTGAATGGGAACTCCTGATATATATCGCTAGTTTATGAGTACAGTATACATTTAATACCGCCTTGGAGCGAACGACACCCTAGTGCTTCACTCGTCCTCCGTAATACCCCGGATGACTTCAACAAAACAACTTTACCATCAAGAATCACCAGTGTTGGAATATATGTTCGCTCACCTCAGCTGAGTTCAGAAATTTCTAGAGTTACATTATACAAGTTTACACAAGACCTAGTGTAAGAAAACCAACAATATTTCCCTGCAATTTCCTCCCAGTTTCCACATGTGGTTCACCGTGTGCACACTCTCCCACATTGATATCTCGACAAGACACAGTGCCAGCGCTGAGATCCTCTCACAAACTCAGACATCAGCATAAAAAGAGCATGATTTGTCTGCGAGTTGCATCGGAGAAGGTGACTGCAGGTACTGGGCCTCTCTCACAATGATACTCAACACAAGCCGCCGTGAGTATTCCCAAACTTAGGGCGCCTGAAAGTGCTCGCTAAAGTACACCTTTACAACCTTTATTTCACCATTAAAAACTTCAATTTCCCCAGGCGAGCAAGTTAGTGCCCCAAGATACCCCTATTGGAACTCCAATTTCGACGGTGCGAGGGAACTTGAATACCGTCAACACGTCGGTTTAGGAACTTCAATTTCATTTACCGTACCCGAGTTGATCAGTCTGAGGATGAGCAAACTGGTCATTTGCGCTCGATGGTGACGGGATGTAGTAGCCCGCTCCACGACATCCTCCAGAGGTGCTGAGCTCTCCCTCGATCGGTAGAGTTAGACGGCAACAGTCTACGGCAGTACCTCCAGACTGGCGCTCTCCCTCCCTTTTCTGTTGACTGGCTAGAGTTGATAAACGTTTCACCTATGGCTCGTACAATCTACCATGTCAAACGTGTATAATTTAGTTTCCACTCAAAAAAAATTTCATTTACACGTCGACTTAGGAACTTCAATTTCGTTGACACGTCGATTTAGGAACTTCAATTTCGTTGACACGTCGATTTAGCAACTTCAATTTCGTTGACACGTCGATTTAGCAACTTCAATTTCGTTGACACGTCGATTTAGGAACTTCAATTTCGTTGACATGTCGATTTAGCAACTTCGCTTTCGACATAATAGTAACTCCTTTTTCGCACATAGGAACATCAATTTTGGTAGAAGTCCGCGATGGAGCTGCAGCAATCCTAATCCTAGTATGTCCACAGTTGATGTGTCCAAGTTGTACAACCAAGGTTAACCGCCGAGTGATAGCTCTTATCCACGCTTGTCAAAAAACCCTCGCGACTGACAAGTCTGAAACCCAATGGAATTGCAAATTTTTTGAACTGCTGCTGTCGTCACGTCATTGAACGCATGTCACATGCAGCATGTGTATACTACTTCCCCTTGCGGACTTGCTTGATTTAACAATCATCACTTGGATCAGCCGTTTTTCGAAACACAGCTCGTTTTTGCGTGAGTCTCTGTTGCACGCATACACACGTACAGTGAGCGCAAGGATCGTACAAGCAGTTTAACTTCATAGTCTCCATCCGTCTCTTTTATGACGTTCCAGAACGAACCGATTTTCCTCCATCAATTGCGGGAAGAAGAGAACTCTCGAAAGAAAAGACGGCTGATGCCGACGAATATGACAGTGATTGGACCCGGCCTCTTACAGGACGCTGAGTGGTCCCGGGTCGACACAAGCCGACTGAAGCACGCCGATGAACTCAAGGAGGTAAGCGTCCGACTATCTTGGAGGCTCCTCGATATAGCGCGCATGACAGTTTCACAATAATCATTATAATCGTGATCCGTAATCATCATAGTTCAGATCCCCCTCTCGCTCCACGGCTGTCATCGTTCCGGTTGCAGGTTCTTACTGGCAACAGACTGGTGTCATTAACGACCATTGGCAGTGGAGAAGCACTCGTCCATGGGTTAACCGAAGCGACAACGGTGAAGACCAGGGTGTAGAGACAGGGTCGTGATGGTGAGAAGTCTTGCGACCTTCCTCATTTCCCTCCGAGTGA